ACATGTTTATTGTAATTATTTCTATCAACAACATGTTTTTTCTTTGTCTCTTCCAGAAGAAGGTGCACCTGGACCAGTTCTTCTGTGTTTACCTGTGTCTCTTTCCTGTCCCTCAGCCAGCCGGTCGAGGCAGATGGCCGCCTGTCCTGAGCCTGGTTCTGCTGGAGGTTTCTTCCTGATTAGCAGGGAGTTTTTCCTCTCCACCGTTTGCTCAGGATGGGAGACTGTGATGAAGTGATTCAACACAATCTGCTGGCTTCTTCTTTAGATTGTTCATTTTTATGTACAGTGCCCTGAGACAATGTATGTTGCGACTTGGCACTATATACATAAATAAACCGAATTGAATTGAATTGAATTGAAAACCGTCACACAGAAGGAGAGTCAGGGAGAATATAAAACTCTGTTAACCCCTGCGGAGTTGCTGTTTCCACACAGTGGAGCTTTTCTCTCCAGTGTTCAAGAAAATGATGAAACTTTAATGAATCATATTGCTACAGAATGTAGTGGGTTTAGATGGCTCTCTACTTTTTCTTCAGACAGTACTGGCAATTAAACTTGTAACATCATTTGCATTTATACTTTAAACAATGATGCCCCCCCCCCCCACACACACACACACACACTCATATTAGTCTAACAGTGGTTTAGTAAATACAGTATGTTCCCTTTTTCTGTGGTTTTCTTCAGTACTGTGTGGGAAAAAAAAACTTTTTATAAATGTTGCCATGTTTGTCAGAGTAACTTTAAAAAACGAAGTAAATCCTTTGTTCCTGTATGAATAAGATGTATGTGAAAACGTCTTTATGCTGTTCCTGTTGCAGATGTCAGAACAACACAGATTCTCACGGTCATCTGCAGGACAAAAGACACAGCAGCAGGAGGGACTGCTGCAGCTGGACTGGACACAGGACAGCTGTCTCTGGGAGGGGGGAGGTGAGTGAGACAGGTTCTGGGTCATAAAGTCTTTTTTATTTAGGCAGGAAGTGAACTGAATGTTTGTTATAAGGGCTAATCATTCTTTAAGGTCTGCATGTCACCTGCTGCATTTCATGCCAGAGTTTAGACTGAAACCTTCTGAGTGTTCTCCTGAGACACAATCACTGACATGGCAGAGCTCAGAGTGTATGATGGGAATGACTCTCAGCTACTACCACAAAATATTTAGCTCAGTATCTGTCAAACTGACTAAATTAGTGACATTTCTGTGTTTTTAATTTTTTAATCAGTTGGCTCTGGTTCTTGAATTCGGTTGATTCCACAAGTGAATCAGTTGTAGATGTACACTCAATAATTACTTTCTGAACGTTTTATTAAAGTCTGTCCAGTTATGCGTTAAACAGTTTGCTAACAGACAGAGAAAACACACTCTCACACACAGATACAGACAAAAGATTTTTGTCAACAGCTTGCCTTTTGGCAGCAGGAGATAACAATGTGCTGCTCCCCAGAGACTTCAGGACACAGAGGACAAGATGAGGCTGCAGGAGGCAGAGAAGACACATTTGTCTCTGCTGGAAGACAAACTGACCGATTCACTCTCACTGCTGCTGCAGCTGCAGAAGAAGGTACTCACAGAAGGAGCTCAACAACACCACCACATGTTTACCACACATTTACTGTTTGTTTACTACATGTTTACCACATATACCACGTTTACTACATGTTTACCACGTTTATCAAATGTTTACCTCATGTTTATAAAAAGTTTACTACATGTTTACCACGTTTATCAAATGTTTACCTCATGTTTATAAAAAGTTTACTACATGTTTACCACGTTTATCAAATGTTTATTACATGTTTATAAAAAGTTTACTACATGTTTACCACGTTTATCAAATGTTTATTACATGTTTATAAAAAGTTTACTACATGTTTACCACGTTTACCATATGTTTACTACATGTTTATCAAAAGTTTACTACATGTTCACATGTTTACCACATGTTTAGTACATGTTCATAAAAAATTACTACATGTTCACTACATGTTTACCACATTTATCACATGTTTCCTACATGCTTATAAAAAGTTTACTGCATGTTTACCACATGTTTCTCAAAGGTTTACCACATATTCACTACATGTTTATCACATGTAGGGATGGGTACCGAATTCGATACTTTTTAAAGTACAGACCGAATTCTGTTGGTACTACTGAGAACCTATTCACGTAAATAAATGAATTCAATTCAATTCAATTCAATTCAATTCAATTCAATTCAATTCAATTCAAATTCAAAAATACTTTATTGATCCCAGAGGGAAATTAGGTGTTGTTGTAACTCATTTAACTAAAGAATTATTGTAGATGCTGATGGCTGTGGGCAGAAAAGACCTTCTGTAGCGGTCTGTATTACAGCGAAGTTGAAGAAGCCTCCGACTGAAGTCACTTTGTCTTTCTATGACAGTCTGATAAAGAGGATGGTCAGGGTTGTCCACAATGTTCTTGATTTTATGTAAAATCCTTCTTTGCACCATCATCTCCAGAGATTCCACAGTCATCCCCAGAACAGAACCAGCCTTCTTTATCAGGTTGGAGCTGTTTTCAACATGCTTAAAGCCCTTCAAAATATTTAATCTTTCCTGCACTCCTGCAGGATGTCTCCCACAGAGTCATGGAGAAGATAGTAATGGACAGTCTGGAAGTCTGCAGCAAACCTGGAGCTGGTACGTTGTCTGTTTTTTTTATTTTTAGTTTGTGTTTCAGCCCTGATTACACCTAAACATTTTTTTTCCAGGCACAGTCCTACAGGCTGATGATGCCTTCACTGTTCACCTGTCCTCCAAGGACCTCAGAGACAGGGGTGGGGGAGCAGAGCAGAGAGAATCCTCCACTTTAACCGCAGATCAGCAGTGTTAACAGCTAAATCAACTGCAGTTCACTCAGCTAACAAATATTTCTTATTTATGTTCTCTGACTCTGGTATATTGATTTCATTTTACCCACATTATTTAACCCTGTCTGATGTTTCGAATCTGTTTGAAACTTTTAATTTTGTACAGAGAATTTCTTTTTATTTATTTTATTTAAACAAAAGCATTTGTGAAGCCAGCCTCATTCATTCTGAAATGTGTTCACTCAGACACATCCTACCATCCTTGTGTACAAACTGCACACAAACTGCAAACAAACTACACAGTGGCAGTAAGAGGAGGAGGGGCTCAGTCTCATTAACTACAGACATTAGCTTGTAGCTTCTCCCTGTTGCTTGTTGTCAGTTGAAATAAAAGCAACCATCTGAAGAATCTAACAAACCAAATATTTTGGTTCCAAACTCTACAGGGCTTTCAGCATTTAGAACCAGATGTTCAAACATCAGCAGGACAGAGAGGGAGGGTTTAGGTGCAGCAGCTCAGTTCTTACAGACAGAAATACTAATCCTCATACACCTTTCTGTTAAACTGATATAATAAAAAGAGTTTATAAAAACTATAGAAGTTAACATCACACTCCAAAACTCAAAGGTTTGATGATCTAATAATTTCAAACTGAATTTTTTCTTTCTAAAGGTTCATCGGTTTGTGGTTTGCTTTCATTCTAAACAGAAATGAACTAACTGTGAGCTTAAACCTGACCAGTGGTGCTGGACAGGATCTCATTGAACACCATCAGTGTCACAAACATGCAAATAATCCTAATTTATGGATCTTTGCAGTAGTTTTTTTCTTGTGGTTGATGGTGTGTACAGAAAACATCAGCTGTTAATGTTAGGTGAGGTTAGACAGGTTAACAATCAAAAAGATGTTCATCACATCCTGTGAATGCTGACTGAAGTGACCATTTAAATGGTCACTTTAAATGTTCTCTGCTTATTATTTAAAAATTAATCTGCTGCATATTGAGCTCTGCAAGATCACCACATTAACGTAGTGGAGTGGTTTGAGTACCCCCGTGATCCTGGGGGCTATGTTGTCTGGGGCGTTTGGTAGGGTCTCACATGGCAAACAGGACTCGGGGGAGGGGTCAGACTAAGACTAATTCAGAACCCTTGATGAAATGAAACGTCARCCACATCAGGAACAAGAGAAACTGGGAAGCCAGGCCGTGCAGATGTCAGCGAGCGCCTGGGCCAACAGGAAGCCACCTTCACGTGGACCCACCACCTGCAGGCAGGACCGTGACGGTCAGGTGCATGCTGGGCAGCAGGTGAGGGAGGGTCCCTGGCTCTGGGGAAGTGGAACATAACCTCACTCGCAGGTAAGGAGCCGGAGCTCAGTGACAGATGTTTTGGGGTCGGGGGCTCAAGTGAAAAGAAGGGCACCATGTGTGGTGCACAGAATCGTCAGCTGTCTTTTGTGTTAAATTTATTACAGACAGCATGTTTGTGTAGGTTTTTATCTATTTCAAACCAGGAGACATTCTCTGATCCATGTTTAATGTTCAACACTCTACAGCAGGGGCGGGCAATTCTTTGTTTCTGTGGGTCACATGAGAAACTTGAGCTTTGTTGGAGGGCTGAAACCAACAATACATTACACTTTATTCTGCTTAATATTCTTTTTTTTCACCCTTTGTTAAAGAGCAGTAAATTATATTTGATTAGCTGCTGCTGCTAATTGGCACAAAGATTTGCTGAAAATATTTATGTAAATATGTGAAACTGTGATTTAGGTGATAAAGGTGAAGCATCTGTCAATCTCTGCCACTAATTGGATCAGCAACTKACACAGCTGCAACTCATTTGAGTCCTCCTGGTGGCTTTTCCTATTTAAGGCGGGTCCAGTGAGCAGGTCATCGCTGATACATCGCTTCCTATGGGTAAAGCTCCTCAGCCTCCAGTCTTGTACCTTGATCCTGAAATTATTAATCTTGTGTTTTGAAACCCTGTGTTCAGTGAAACTCGCCTGAAGATCCTAAGGATTCTTGGACCTGCAAACCACCCGCATCTGTCAACATCACTCACCAGGAAACCAACGCTGTTGTRTGTCTGCCTCCAACGCTCAACCTGAAAACAACTGAAAAAACTCACCTACCTGAAAAATACWCACCTTGGATACTTACCCTGGATTTGAACCCTCTCCTCTACGTGTCGCTCGCCTCCTAGAACTGTAAGATCTCTCATTATTATTATCCTCCAAGTTCCTCCTAAACTAAAGAACCTACCTGGATACTCACCTTCTTCCTTTCCCTCCACAGCCTGGACTCCCTGTACATTTCCTTATCACCTGTAAATAAAAACACTTACCTTTTTATCTGGTCTCCGTGTCTGTTGTCCGATAAACCTGCTCCTCTTTGACTTAAACCTGAAAACCTGATAGTATGTATCAGCCACAAGAAATGTCAAAGAGCGGTTTATCTGACAACCAGCCGGCTAGTTCCTCCGATTCCCTCTTGTCCGACCATCAGGAAATGATAAATAGATTATGTCGTGCTCAACAAGAAACTTCATCCGTGTTAGAACGGGTGACAAAGAGTTTAGCCGATCTAGATGCTCGATATTCGACACTATTACCAAACCCTCCAGTCAGCTTACATAATATAAACCCTCAACCAACTCAACCCACTCATACCCCTCGTGAACCAGATTTAAGACCATCAGAATTATTCGACGGAGATTTAAATCATTGCTCCGGTTTCCTATTACAATGCCGACTCGCTTTTGCTCGCTCACCTTCATTGTTTCCATCTAATGCAGCTCGCATTATTTATATTGTTTCTGCATTAAAAGGAAAAGCTCTAAGATGGGCACAAGCCTTTTTAGCGTCCCATTCTTTGTCAACACTCACTTCCCAGCTTTTCATACAGGAGTTCGAGCGTGTATTTAATCACCCCCTCCAGCAGGAGGAGGCATCAAAGAAAATCATCGCTCTCCGCCAAGGACGCAGATCTGTGGCCGATCACTCAGTGGACTTCCGCATTCTTGCCGAGGAGACGGGCTGGGACGAGCTCGCGCTAAAAGGTATTTTTACAAATTCCTTATCTGACGCTGTTAAGGATCAGCTCGCATCCCGGGATGAGCCCGGAAGTCTGGACGAACTTATTTCACTATCTATTCGTATTGACAATCGACTCCGTGAACGACGAAAAGAAAAGGACTCCAGTTCCCATAATGCCCCGAGTCTCGTATTTAATTCACCTGTGGAATTATCAACGCCTGTTTCAGCTGTGTCTACTTCTCATTCAGAGTCCGAACCCATGCAGATCGGGAGGACGCGCTTGACACCAGAGAAGCGACAAAGACGGATTACATCCAAAGCATGCCTTTACTG